GTCTGCTCTTTTTTAGCTACAGCTTCTTGGCATGTGCAGTATACGGCTTGTTAACGGGGACCGTTGGATTCTTGACGGCCTACGCGTTTGTCCGACGGATTTACAGGTAAGCAGTCCCTGGTGGTGTCGTGGATATCAGATGTTGGAGCTAATCATGGCACAGCGGCGTCAAAGTTGATTGATCAATTTCAGGAACGCATGTTTGACACCCATGTCATCTTTTTACCCAGACGGGCTTATGTGAAACGGCATTTGGTACCAGCATTCCCTTTATATTTCCTTTGCCATCTTTTGGCACTTTCTTAAGATATCCACCCTCCCACTCCATGTGCAATAAGCTACCGTGCTATTATTGACTTGTAATGTCATTTGGCCCGTGGCCTTTATGTACTATATATATACATATATATTCCGTCTATTAGCGAATTCAATCAATATTCCTCAGTCTTAACGCGTGTTCCAGTCATGATCTCAATTCCGTTGTATTGCTCTTCACTAACCGCGGAGCAGCTTGGTCGAGTATAGTATCTCAATCATATCTAATGTATCCAAGTTATCAAAACCAGCCGTAGCACAAACACTCAGCCAACACTCAATAGCACGCCTAATAACTGCTCCCTCACAAGATAAAAGTAGCACTATCCACAATCCCTCCCCCATCAAGAAAGAAAAAAATAATCCGCTCCGTGATACATTCCCAGGAAATCCCTCCTACTAGTATCACCACTACCTTAGAAGGCCGGAGCCTCTAAAACCTAGATACTCCTATAACATAGCAAGCAAAAAAAAAAAAAAAAAAAAAAAAAAACACCCTCTTCGAGACCCCGGGGAAAAACCACCTGACTCATCATAGCGCAACAACCAGATAGACTCAAGTCAATTCTTCCCCAAAACGGCATTTCCATCCAGCTCCCCCCGGCCACAAAACCCACGAGCTTAATAGAACGCCTCTTAATCCTTCCCCAGTCATCATTTCACTCCAAGTCACACACACACACACACACACACATAAAAAAAAATACAAGTTCTCAATACATTTGAAACCCCCGTTACACTACTACATCCACCAGGTAACACGAGAACTTTTCAGAATGGCTACAAGCGGAGACTCTAACTATATGGTCCGCGTGATGTTCAATCTTAGGAACGAGGATAACCGATGAAGTCCCGTGATTAAATTGATGGAAGGTTTCCAGTCTCTGGTAAGTATTTTTTCCATGGATGGATTGATGTGTTTATGACTTTTGTTTTGGTGGGGTTTGTGTGATTGGTTGGAATAAGGTCATGTGGTATCTATGTATTGAGTTCTGGGAGGCTGATGCTTAAGGGATGATTTTGGTGGAGTTGTCATTGTCATGGTGTACTCCGTCCTTAAATCTGGTTATGGGGCTTTTTTGGGGTTATCGATTTTGGATAGTGAGGTTCTGTGGGGTTTGTTTGATTGATGTAAGGGGTTCCTGTGCATGATCATAGTCAAAGACTCGATCAAGAGGATAGATAGATGTGTCTCTCTTTTCCACACAGTATGGATATGCGTTAAGAGGCCAAGAACAGGTTTCCAGACCGCCCAGTTACATATCAGATGTGAATGAGGCAGTAGAATTAGTAAGACAAGAAAAAATGACAGAGATGAAACGAGCAGGAAAAGCGTAAAGCAGACCTGATTGCGTCAGCTAACTATTAATTAGATGGCAGAAAACAAGTCCCGAGGATATGAATGAAAGTCAAGTTCCTGTGACTCGGCAGGTCCGTTCATTGCATTTTGGATTTAAATTACATAGACTTTGTTTCAAATGTGTTTACAACCGCTAGGCAGATGATGAGTGACCAATACCAATACTTTTTGCTTTTGGCTGGAATTTTTTAAAACATGGATGTAATCCAGGTGCATTAGGGCGTGCTTTAGTGTTACTAAATGTATTACTACTGTACTACTGTATGCATTGCATGTATGGATGTATGTATGTATTGTAGGAAAACTTAAGTAGGAGATGCCCCCATTAATCTAAAGATCTCCAATCACCGTCTCTATTGATAAATTATCTACTACCATGTCAGGCCAAAATACTTGATCAATTGTGTCGGATGGGACGGACTCCGTTTCAGCCCGACTCCAATGATTATCGTGATCGCCCAGATGAAAGGGTCAAGGACGAGGTAAGACATAGAGTACTCCTTACTGTTCATTGGAGGACGTTGGAATCCTCCCATCTGCGTACTTTATAAACCAGGTGCACAGGCAGCAATGCACAGTCCTCGACTTCAGACGGGCGGTAATGAATCATTCATTTGTGGAGATGTTTCGCCCCCTTGATGGCGTGATCGGAGGAATGAATGATGCGTTTTTCCTCACGTCGAAGGGCTCGGCATCCGAATCCGGACGAAAGAATGAGCTTCTTTTGGCTGCGAGCTTCTCAACGAGCAAGAAGGCGGAGGGATCTTTGGCTCATGTCATTTTGACATAATATCAAGGGAGAACCGCAGGAAAAGTGATTGAGGAATATAGATATCTGGTACGGAATGGCCTGATCTCCGTGAAACTCCGGAACCCGTAGTAGATCCCATTAGCCAAAAGCTTATCAGCAAACTCCATCAACAGAAACCATGGGGAAATGGCCATTCGGATGATCTTCTAGAAAATCCTCATCGCATACGTAAGGGCAATGCGATATCCAACACGTAATGCAGGGATCGACGAATGACAGACGGAGTGGAGATGATGCCATCGACCCGCGGAATTAGTATAACGCTAAACACGGCATCTGCAGGAAGCCTATTCTCTAGACCCCTTATTGGTCTCCTTATGTTAATCTAAGGTCTGCAGCTTCTAGGGTAAAAGGGTCTGTGCAATACTGGCCATACATACGGTATTGATGAGTTGAGTATATCAGTGCCAAGATGCTGTTCATTCCGCTCGACTTGGCATATGTTTGCCGGCTCAGGTGACTGGGAGAGTATCGATAGAGCGAGATTCTTGATATGCTACGTTCCAAGAATAATCGTATAGATGTATTACACATGTATAACGGAGAGAATAGCATGGTTCCCAATTCAACTTCTTAGTCTCCGTCCTTGGTAGCAGAATATCTATGACTCGTTCGTGAGCACAAGCGGTCGGAGCGTTGAGATCTCAATTCTGACTGACAACGAAATTAGAAGCGGTTGCTGCATCCTATGTACTCAAAAGCAGCTCGCTCCACACTATCTCTCCTTCCTTTTCACACCCTGATGCGAATTTGTGTCAACTTGCAGGGCAATTCCTCCTTCATTACTAGTTGTCACATGACAAGTAGTTCTTAGGGTCTATGCCGGTCGAAGTTCAGGAATAAAAGAAACACTTGTGAACCACTGTAGAAATGGGATTGATAGAAGAAGTCAACCACGTGACGACATAGTGGTTGGGACCAGCCACATTTCATTGTGAACTGCCAAGTCCGTCATCGAAAGAGACACAGCGATTTACACTAGCGGGTTGTATGACTTTCGGGCAACAGTATCTGGGCCCAATTGAAAGTAAGGATCATAGAGCCGCCTGAACCAGCTCAAATATCAATGTGTCATTATGATGCGTGTATCATGTAAATATCATTGGATTCCTGGTAAATCCTGGGGAACCAGTACATTGTCCTGCTGAGCATGAAAAATATGAAGCCTGTTGATACTGTTAAGTGGTGGTAGTCCGAATTGTCGTACGCTGTACGCCGTATGGAAAGGATGAAATTGAGCCCAAAAATTGGCACTGGAATTAAGTTACGGGCGCGCATTAGCCTGCCAGTCGAAGAAGACGATATTCACCGCAACCTGAGGTTTTGCTGAGAAATGTTGTCTTGGCTGCCTGAGAAATTGGCACATGACCCCTGACCCGAAAGAGGAGAGATGGATCCATATGAAACCTTCAGCCGTATCGAGCGATAATGACACATGAATTCCTCTTTTCATTGTTGAAACTCTCCCACTACTAGAACCAATTATGCGTTTGTAACTTTCTAACGGACCAGCCCGTTTTTCTTACAAGGGCCTTAGTCTGTGGCACTAGAACTTGTTTAAGGAGCTACCCAATGAACTGTCGTGGCGAACCAGCTGACGCGCCTAGTTCAGCGAGTCAACCTGTGATGTGCCGGGGATCCTTGTCGGAACCGGCCGGGGGTGGAATTCAGGAACCAATAAGAAGATACTATAATGCCAAGCGCGCCAAGATTTTGGAGAGTCCGGACTAGTGAGAAGGGGGTTTGAGACCCCAGGCCCACTTCGGTTAGTAGGCAGGCTAGTTTACCCGTCCTAAGCGAACTTCAGTCTACTACGGAGTACTTCGACTCTGGAAGGAATACGCACAGAACAGGATCAAACCCAATGACACTTCGTACAGGCAATCTTCAAAGACTTTATCTATTAGTGGGGAAAGTGGTGAACAGATGAAGCAGAAGGGAAATTGCAAAATGAGATAGGACCTGCGGACTCCGACGACCACCTGAGTGCTGTCGTGGCGATCTGACCAATCCTTTGGTACTTACCGGACCGCATTTCTCTGCCGGGAAATTACATCCTTACGCGGCCCTAGTAATCGGTATCTCGTCACAAAGTGATCGTCCGTTCGTCGACGACATGTACTACCGAGTATGTATGTACTACGGAGTACTTGACAAGGCAACGTGATTTTGGATGATCACAATCCTCTACAGCCAGGAATCTACAAGTGGAAAAGAAAGATAATCAATTTCCTTCACTTGAATCATTGGTCTGAAAGTTTATTGCCCCTGCGTTCCAGCTCGTGGGGAAATCACACCATCGTCTCCGCTAATGGTTCCATCGCTGCGGTGACATCGATTGTACCACACTTGATGTAGATCTCCGCTAATTCTCAATACATTCATTTCATACCCACATGTAATTTTGGTTCTGGTACAAGTATGTACATGCAATCAAT